TGTGGCACCTAGAAAATTTAAAATTATGTATGTGGCTCAACGTTGTATTTCTTTTGGACAGTGCTATGTGAGATCTTAAAGAAAGGGAACAGCTTCTATTTATTACAGACAAAAAAGAAATATATTTATCAAGGAATCTGAGCAAGATCCCTAAAAGGATTGTGAGAGAATTGCGTGTCTTGTATTTTCCCTTTATAAATATTCCTAACACCTTTGGCCTTACATGTATAAGCCCAGATACGTACACGCATTTAAAAGGAAAGAAATACTCACATGTGGAAATAGAAGCCGTGCTGGGCATTTTCTCCTGCGATGATTTCTCCATAGTAATATCTTTGTCATTATTTGTAATGATTGCAAATTGTCCATAATACTGTAGTAAGATTTATTTGGCCAGTGCCCTTTTTATGAATGCATATGTCATCCAGTTTTCACTACAATAAGCAGATGTTAATGGCTTTATGTTTAGTGCTGATGGGGCCCTTGGAGTGAGTGTCAGTGCTCCTGGCGGAGCCATTGCTTCTGTCCCTAACTGGACATTACGAGGAACTCAGCTAATGAATGGGACATCTATGTCTTCTCCTAACGCATGTGGAGGCATTGCCCTTATACTTTCAGGTAAGGCCAGTGGCTGTTACTGTACATGGTTTAGTTTATATTTTTTTAATTTCAAGTAGAACAGTAGTGGATTTTTTACTACTCCACATGTATTTCAGTGACATTTTAATTACTTTGCTTAATGAGACAGAAGTGACATTATAAAATGAATTTTGAATATCATTTTATAGTTTACCTTGGTCCTGGTTCTAAAATCTATGAATTATTTTAAGGTCGGGTCAGGAGGTGTTAAGTATCTAAATGTTTTTATGTTTGTAGCATAAAATAAAGTCAGACAGTAGCCGTAAAAAAACAGTTGGATGAATTTCTCTTACCTTATTGCAGACAGATGTTTTGTTTTCTGAAGTTCTCATCTAGAGAAGGTTTGGTAGAATTGGCAGTCCTGGGATCAAAGTAAAATTTAAGGTGGAAAATTATGTTCTGAATTAATGATATTTTGAATGTATTTATTTATTTATTCAACAAATTTATTGGTTCTCTACTGTTAATGACTATGGGGCTAAATTAATAAAACATCAAAAATACCTACCCATGTGGAGTTTACATTACAGCTGGGGAGACAGACTATGAATGAAATGCAATATAGTTTATATTACATGTTGAAAGGTGGTGAATGCCATGGAACAAAATGAAGCAGAAAGAGGTCAGCATTTCTGGGGAGGGGTGTGCAGGAGGATTATAGTGTTAAGTAGGGTGACATCTGGGTTGATTAGGGTAGCCAGGCTGTTGTGAAGATCACATCTCAGGAACGGTCCCCTCTGTTGACGTCTCCTCTCTCCTCCCCTACCGCCTTAGTTCATGCCTTATCTGACTAGTGTATCAGTCTCCTTTGTCCACCAAGTGTCTCCTAATGGAGTCCATCTCCACTCACCAGAGAGCTGCCAAAAACGAACCAGTAATTGCATACCACTTATTTTCAGTCCTCTGTCCATACCACATTACTTACCAGATTGAGTCCAAGCTCTCAGGATGGATCCTGTGTTGACTCTCCAGCCCCATTTCTAGTCTTGTCCAACCTGACCAACTATTTCACAATCTCCCCTGTCTTCCATCTTTGGGCATGCTGTTCTCGGCCTAGAATTCCATTCTGCCTGTTGTTGGCCTAGCAAACCCCTGTGCAGTCTTTAAGATCCAGATTGTCTATTAGTTCCTCTGATAACAGCATAGCCTTTTTGGATTCTTACTGAGAAAATCTCACGCTTTGAGATGCTCGTACAGTATCATAATATTTACATGCTTGTTTTATTTGTTTCTTGCAATGTAATGTTTAATGTGCTCTGGAGAAGACAGGGAGGATACATTACTCATCTTTTATAACAACAACAGTCATTAATGCAAGATTTATAAATCTTTTAATAAATACTATGCCTGGAATCAGCCTTCAAAGATTCTGATTCCATTAGTCTGTGGTGAGGTCTCAGCATCTCTTCTGTTTGTTTATTTTACATTTCCCTGGTGTTTGTTGTAACCTGCACCCAGGTTGAAAACTACACAAGCAACCATATTGACCAGCAGTGTTTTAAAGAAAATGTCACTTCTCCCTAGTCTTCACCATTCAGTGTTAACACACAGCTGCTTCTTACACTTATTTATATTACCTCTTCCTGGCCTGCATTATTGCCATTGCGTATGGACACTCAGTAATTTTTGTTAAATGAAATCTTTGTGTGATGTAAACAGTTGGAGTTAGACTGTTTAGTTCAGTTTAAAAAAAAAAATGAGTGTCAAACAAAACATTAAAACCATAGAATCTACATGTCAGCTATATGAATAGGGGGAGTTTCAGGTCGTTAGATCTCTAACACTACTTTTGTGTTTTGATTTAATTTTAGGTCTGAAAGCTAATAACGTTAACTACACAGTTCATTCAGTCAGAAGAGCTCTAGAAAACACAGCAGTCAAGGCTGACAATATAGAAGTATTTGCCCAAGGACATGGTATTATTCAGGTATCGTCACTTGAAAGATATCTTAGGTGTACTTAGTTCAGTGAAGTATACGAGGCCAAATGATCAACACCTGCACAAAACCAAAGACAAGAAGGCAGGAAGGGACAGGAAAACTGGAGGAATGGACACAAGGAAGCCGGGGTGGAAAGGGGGAGAGTGCTGACACATTGCAGGGATTGCAACGAGTGTCATGCAACAACTTGTGTGTAAATTTTTGAATGAGAAACTAATTTGTGCTGTAAACTTTCACCTAAAGTACAATAAAATTAAAAAATAAAATACTTCATTAAGGCCAAAAAAAAAGATATCTCAGGTATTACTGGATAATATTTCCTATTATAACAAAGATTAATTATATCTAAAATTTAGATTGTATAGTCATCGTAGTCTCTTAACTGTAAGTAAAGGGGATATAAAAACTAATTTTGTAGTTAATCCAATGTGTTAGAATAAAATAAATATGTGTTGAATGTGTAGAGGTGGGAAATTGAAGGCAAAGAGGCAGAGGGTAAAAACTGGTAAATCAAATGGCATATGGCATAATGGAGCAGTTCCTAAATGTGGTCACTTGGGAATAACAACGTGAATAGGGAGAATGGAAGGTGAGTCCAGTGGTACGTTAGACTGCTATTTCATCTCAAAAGGTAGAATTGTCAGTTGGGGTTACCACGCAGTGTAGAGAGGTGAGTGTAAGAAGAAACTTTCTCCTGTGCTACAACTGAAAGTAAATCGATTGGTAATGTGCAATAAAAATTTTATATCTCACTGTTCACATTTTTTAATTAGGTTGATAAAGCCTACGACTACCTCATTCAGAATACATCATTTGCTAATAAATTAGGTTTTACTGTTACTATTGGAAATAACCGTGGCATCTACCTCCGAGATCCTGTTCAAGTGGCGGCACCTTCAGATCATGGTGTTGGCATTGAACCTATATTTCCAGAGGATACAGGTAAGTAATAAACTGGTGGTAAGCTGAAGCGTTGAAATGTATGATTCCAACGAATAGTATTACAGTGGAGAAATGTTGTTTGGGATGATGTTCTAAATGTTCTGAAGAGAAAGCGTGAATTGACATTGTTATTATTTTAAACCATATAGATTTTAGGGAAAATGTGAGAGCAGTTAGGGATCCCCAGTACAATGGCAATTCAGTTAGCATCTAGAAAAACAATAAAATGGGCCTTTAGTGACCTAGAATTTTATTAAATTGTAGATAATAAAACATCAAAGTCCTTTTATCTCCCACTTTTACTACTTGGGTGTAAGAAAAACTCTCAGAGATTGGAAGTAGAAGCAGCCAGGGCGAACTGCAGCTCCGTTGGGCTCAATTGCAGCTTGATTTCAGTCAAATAACCGTAATCCGCAGTAATGAAAATTATCCAGCTAAAACTCTTTCAGGGTGTAGCAGTGTTTGGTGACAGTGTGAACGCACTATAAGTGTAATAAAATATAAGGAGGATTGCCTTGACTGTTTTATTTCAACTATGTTTTGAAAGTCTATGTATAGTGCATTTTACAATTGAGAGGAATCTCAGTTGCTAAATTTTCTTTAGAGAAGATAAAACTTTCAAAATGGAAGAAAAGGAAAAAACGGTAATCTTTGTTTTTTGGTCTTTTTAATGCCAGAAAACCCTGAGAAAATATCCCTTCAGCTTCATTTAGCTTTAACTTCAAATTCCACTTGGGTTCAGTGTCCTAGCCATTTGGAACTCATGAATCAATGTAGACATATAAACATACGCGTGGATCCCCGGGGCTTAAGAGAAGGATTGCATTATACAGAGGTATTAGTCTATCTTAATTTTTACTGTCTTTACTCTTTAAAACGTTTGACATTTTAAGATCTCTATCCCGAATGTATTTGTCGTGTATTGCTTTCTTGTTAAGAAGCAACTCTACCTTTATACTTGCCCTGATTTTACTGCTCTTCTGGTAGGTCTTTGAAGAATATCGTTATTTTATCCTCGTGTTAAGAGGGAAAATGGGAAGTAGTACCTCTTCAAGAAGCAGAACCTCTTCAATTTGGTCTCCCTCTAATTTGGGTGTGTTTTAATTCAGGCTGTGGTTATTTCCTTGCACTCTGATAAAGAAAGCATCTGTTAAACAAAGGATCATTGTAAATAAGCACAGAATGGTATCAGAACAGTATCTCTACCTAAAGCTGTGTATAATACTTAAGTTGAGCTGATTTTTAGTTAAAAGTAATTGAAATGCATTTACTTAAAATGTTTGTACTTGATGAGGTAGTCCCATTTCCTGATAAGTCTGAATTAGTCAAGGGTTGTTACATATGTGTTTGTTTAGACTAATTGCTTTTAATTATTTGACCTGATACCAGGAAATTGATGTCAGCCTGTGCTTAGGACCTTTAATTTTAAGATTAGATTAATTTATTTTATAAATCACGTTTTTTCCTTCTCTTTTTCTGGCTATTTTTAAAATTTGTTTACTGAGAGTGAAACTTAGCATTCTTTTTTTCAAGGTATGTGGCTATGATATAGCATCACCTCATGCGGGGCCTCTGTTCAGAGTTCCAATAACTGCAGTTATAGCAGCAAAGTAAGTAACAGATTATTAACAGTTTCCCATTACATGTGATTGTTAACGGCTATATGTGAAAGTAGTGTGGACTTTTAAAGGATCACTAGGCCAGAATGAGGTAAACTGGGTTTAGTCTTAGTTCTGCTCCTAGTTTGAATTTTAACGTGGCACGTAATCAGTCATGCTGTTCCTTGTTAACTGAGAATAACTGACTGCGTTCTGGATATTCTGCCACTCCACTGAAACTGCTTCCTACCAAGGTTAATAATGATCATATTACTTCCTGCTTAAAATATATCAGTGGCACTCCCAAATATCAAGTCCAAGCTCCTTAAAATAGCAAACAATGATCTATCTGATCCTTCAAAGTCTAGCCCCAGCCAATGTTTCCTGTCATGCCATACACCAAATTACACATTTCAGCCAACTCACTAATCCAGTAATTCCCTCTACAGTATGTTCATTTCCACAGCTGATTCCTTTGTTTCGTTTGCCTGTCTCTGAATTAACAGGCACAACTCCAGTCATCCCCCCAGGTGGGGTGAATGCCTTCTGTCTGTCTCATGCCTCTGCTACAGCTCTTAGCCAATGTGTTATAATTTTTTATTTAATTTACATCATTTGACTATGACTCAGTAAAGGCACAGGGGCTGTATCTTACTGAGAACTGTATGGAGTCTGTTATACAGTATAATTCAAAACAAAATAAATTTTTTAGTAAATGAGAGAGTAAGATTGGGAATATGAAAATACTGGAAACAAGTGAAAAATTCTAAATGAACAATTTCTGTTGAGCCAGTTACTTTGGTAAATATTAAATATGCAACAGTTCTCAACCCATAAGAAACATACGGTGAGATTGAGGAGATAAAAAGTGATATATGTGTGGAACAATTGCATAAGAATTACCTTCTTATATTCCCTAAAAGTCCAGTTGAACTTTAGACAAGGTAATATACATAAACCCTCAGGAATTAGCTAAAACATCATCTCCTTCAGGAAGCTTTTTCCATCTTTTGAGTGAACCAGGTACTCTTCATCTGGTTTCCACCATCACCTTTTGTCTATCCAGAGCATATTACATTAAGCATTCCTGATCATTTTCTGTCTAGGGCAAAGGACTATGTTTTATTCATTGTTTTATCTCTAACTCCTAATGCAATGCCTCTTATCTACATACAGCACTCAGTGTTAGTTGTACTGACTAGAATTTCTCTTTTGCATATACTTTAGGTTTGATCATGGGTAATTGTAGATTTGACCTCTATGTTTCTTTGATTTCTTACAAAAATACTGTGAAAGTAATTATCTTTTCTTCTTTACTGTTTTATTACATCACAGGAGTGTTTTGAAGCTACAAAGGGGGTTTAATTTAATATCAGTTTTATAGTTATAGATAGTATCAGTGACACAAAGCATTACCTTTGATTTTAATATTTAGGACTCGCTATCATCCAGATACTGATAATTGGACAATTCTGTGAATGTTGGAGAATTCTTTTGATGAGAGAGAGAGAGCTTTTTTTAGTGTACATGTGTGTCTTACAGAGAAATTATAGAACAGACAACTAAAAAGTAGAAAAAAACCATCTGTACTATCCAGAAATTGTCTCTGCTAACATACTACAAAAATGGGGTGATGTTGTACATACTGTTTGTAGCCAGCTTTTAAGCCCTCGTGTTTATTTTTAATGAACTTTTCTCCTAAATTTATTGGATAAAGTCTAGAGTACCAGTGGGCTTATTATGTATAAACCTATTTTTATCAGAATATCACATTTAATAATTTATTTTTATTAATTTTCAGAGTAAATGAGTCATCACATTATGATGTAGCCTTTTCAGATGTACATTTTAAACCTGGTCAAATTCGAAGGCATTTTATTGAGGTTCCTGAGGGTGCAACATGGGCTGGTAAGTAGAATTAAAGTTTGTCTTGACCACTTGTCTTTGTGTGTATTCTGTCCCTGTTATGATTATGGCCACGTAGAGGGTTCTTATCTCCGTAATACATACTTTTCTCATAATAATAATATATGTATCTGGCACCCAAGATTTGCTGTTAAGTTCAAAAATTTTTAAAGATCGAGTACTGCTTTGTGTTCGCTTATACATCAGATCACCTAGGTCATCCTAAAATGTGTTAATATTCAAGCTTTTAACTTAATCTACAATGATGACTTATCTGTTAATAATTTCTTTAAAAAATACTACAAATAAATTTAAACAATCTAGCAGTTCCTAAAACTCAAACTGTTAAACTTTTGGAATTTTAGAAATAGAGCCTTTTTTAAAAAATATAATTTTAACTTATTTCATTATTGTTGAGTATATAGCAAACCATACACCAATTCAGCAGTTTCTACAGGTACCATTTAGTGACACTGATTATATTCTTTGAGTTGTATAACCATCCTCACCCTCCTTTTCTAAGTTGTTCCTCCGGCATTAAGATAAATTCACTGCCCCCTAAGATTCCTATCTAATCTTTCAAATTGCTGTTGTTAATTTGATTCCATATAGATAGTTCTTAAAAGAGCATGATGCTCAGGGCAGACATTTTTTATTAAGCTAAGCTGTTGTTTGATTTTAAGAAGACTTCAGGGAATATTTTTGGTTTCAGGTTTAAAGATTATCTCAGGGCAGAAAGAGAGCTTTAATTCTTGTAACTCTATAAAGAAATTGGAAGTTTACAAAGTTTTCACTTTAGCGTCTCGGGTATTTTGAGCATCAAAATGATTGCTAAAGACAGTGCTATTAAATTATATGTTACAGTTCTATTAGCGTAATCATGTATCATTCTTTATATGAGGTTGTGGATATAGCATATTTTCCTTCACAGGTTACATTTCCTAAGTAATTACACAATTCAGAAATCAGTATGGGAGTAGGAATGTATGCTATCATGTCTCATGCACATTGATGGGAAGAAACAAACGTAGGCAATTAAAAAATGTCACCTAATTTAAATTCACGACCAACATTTATTGAGTACGTACTGTGCTGGGGCAGTCTGCTAGGCACTTTACATAGATGATCTCATCTAGTCCCCATCAGAATCCTATGAGGTAGGCAGGTAGATGCCATTATTATTACAAGTATTTATATTTCATTGAGGAATGTATTTTTGTACTTGTCTGTAAATGGAGACGTATCTGTTCAGAAAGTTGATGCCAAATGAAATCACATTGTGTGAGACCTGATTTGGGAAGAGCTGGTTGTCTTCGTGGTTTTCCATACCATCTTGCGGTCATCCATACATATGCAGTTCATCTTATCTGTCACTGGATATCACAGGAAATGCACGACTTGTGCTCCGGCCTAAGTATAGCTAAGAGTCTGCGTGTTTCTGATTTTGTATAACTGGATAACAGCAAAATAATAAGTAGCAAAAGCCAGGAGTCAGAGCAGCTAATTGACAGGGTCCTGTATAGCCTAATAATTTGGACGTCAGATAACAATGGAACTATTACAGCATGGATAGCCTTCTGAAGATAATCAGGGTTGGACTGCGCTCCTTCATGTAACATCTTTTTGCATACCATCTATATGCCATGCCCTTTTCAAAGGGCTGAGGTGGTGAACAAGATAAAGACCCTGCTCCCAAAGGCTTTTTCTCCTAGGAAGTGCCTTAGAGCATTTAGTCCAAACCCACTGTTTTGCAGGTAGGGGAACCTGGGTAAGGAGACAACATCAAATCGTGGAAAGGGCACAGGCTTTCCAGATGGACAAGTCTGGGTTTAGGTTCAGACTCTGCCATACACTAATGTTTACTTTGGGCAAGTTTCTTAACTCTCAGTGCCTCTGTTTCAACTAAAAATGCTGTTTATAGGTTACTGTAAGGATTAAAGGAGCCCTGGTGGTGCAGCAGTTAGCAGGTAGCCTAGCTGCTAACTGAAAAGTCAACGGTTCAAACCTACCAGCTGCTCTGTGGGAGAAAGTTGTGGCAGTCTGCTTCCGTAAAGATTACAGCCTTGGAAACCCTGTGGGGCAGTCCTACTCTGTCCTGTATGGTTGCTATGAGTTGGAATTGACTCGGTAGCAAGAGGTGATAGGTAGTAAGGATTAGAGATTTTATAAAGCACCTGAGATGTAGCACATCCATGTTGAGATTACACCCACTCTTCACTTACCGACATGATTAAGTTCCAAAGACCAGGTTGTTATGCAGAAATCAGCATTATGCGAAAGTGGAGGACTTTTCTGTTTTCATACCATCCATTTTGTCCAGTTTTGTTTTTTATTTAGAAAATGTGATCATAGAAATAATTACAGCTAAGATTTACTGATGTGCTCATCATTCTCACAAGTCCAAACCAAAAACCCACTGCCGGAGGCTGTGGTCGTGGAGGAGGCTGGCCCCACACAGCAGCTGGGCATGGATCCCCCGCCTGCAGGAGGGAGCAGAGGGAGAGGGGCAGCGCAGCCCAGCTTCCTGGAGACCACTCAGAGACCCTCCACATGGAAGGGGACGCTTTGCAGCCTTTGCCGCCATGCCCGCTGCCTTGCTAATGTGCAAAATAGCCAGATAGTAGATTTTTTACTATTACCATGAATGTGCAATGCCAGATAACGAGACAGTCGCTAAGTGAAGAGCGAGTGTACATTTATGTACTCGACAGTTGTGCTGGGGAGTAGTCAGAGCGGTGTGTCGCGCAACTCTGGACCACCATTCACCTAGTGCCGCTTGGAATTGTACAACACTGTTGTTCTGGTGAAATGCAGACTGAGAATATTAACGGAAATCTGTAATTAACTCATATTAAATGTAATATTTGTTTAGTGGTGAATTTGAGTAATTATAATGCCATAATTATGATTTGCTTAGATTGGTATTAAAATATAATTGTTTTTTCTTTTTCTTTTTTTTTATAAGAATGTATCTGATGATCCAGAAGATAAGTAGCTTGAAAGCATTTAGCTGGCTTTGATTAGAAGTGTAATAATTCCAATTTCAGATAATTAGAAATATTGTCATAACAGTAGATTTTATATTCTTAGTAATCGATTAGTGTCAAAGAGCTGTGTGTCAGCCTGCCGTTGTGGACCAGAGCATTGAACCTTTCTTTATAATGCTCTTGAATTAGAGCAGCTGTTCTGTAAATAAGTGGCTCATCTTGCTCTACATCCATTTTGGCTTACCCCCAACTCTGCCTAAGAATGAAGCTAAGCATATGTAGTTCTGTTGGTCATATTTTCTAGAAGCAAAAAAGACCAAGAAGCAGAGACTAGGAAAAGTTATCAGTGAAGCTGAATACATACTAATGGAATTTAGGCATGTTAACAAATAAGAGATTTCCAGAATTATAATCTTCTTTATCATTTGATTGATTTTCCACCTGAACCAGAGGAAAAGTTTAGAGGTGGGAGGGATTTTAAAAGATACCTAATTAAGGTAATTGTGTGTGCATACGTGGACAAGCCTGCTGTTTTGTGCTGATTGCAGCATATTGGTTGTTCCTTTTAGTACTGATTTATTTACTTTTCATAGCTAAATCTTGTCCCCTTTTAGCTGATACATAGCACATCTGTGTATGCATAAATAAAAATCCATTTGTTTTTATGGAAATATGCAGATATTATTTGAATATATTATTTTGTCCTTGGTATATTATTCCCTAAACAAGTAAGCATAAAACCCTTTTATGTTGCTTTTAAAACTTGGCTTCTTCTCTTCTTATTTTAGAAGTTACGGTGTGTTCATGTTCTTCTGAGGTGTCAGCCAAATTTGTTCTTCATGCAGTACAGCTTGTGAAGCAGAGGGCCTATCGAAGTCATGAATTCTATAAATTTTGTTCCCTTCCGGAAAAAGGAACACTGACCGAAGCTTTTCCTGTCTTAGTAAGTTTAAATAATGTCTTGAAATCCTAGAATACTTTCTTTTCCTTTTAGTACTGTGGGCTTAGACTAAGTATTTGGTTTTGTAGTTTGTATTCAGAATGCCTTGGGGCTGTATATTTTGTCAATGCTGAATAAATGAAGTAGGAAGATAAGAAGTCTAATTAGGATACGTGAGACAGTTGTAGGTAAGTATTAATCCTGATTGATTCAGTCAAAAAAAGTGCTAACCTGAAAATTCCGACACCTTGTAATTTGAATCCTGAGTGAGATTGTTTCCTCTGAAGTGAGATTGTTTCCTTAGTTTAGGGCTGTTTTCCATGTTATTTAAGTTACTTTATTAACACCCTGTTGTTGAGGATTGATGAGGGTAGATTGGCTTTTAGGTGAAGCTCTCCTGCTCTGTACGTACCTAAATTACCTCACATGTGGCAGATCTCCTTCTACTCTGTTCTTACCTGTAGTGTTAGAGATGATGACTCGTCCTTCCTCTGCAGATGGTGGATGTCCTGATGCTCTTCCTCACACTTGCTGCTTTGTGGTTTTAGTTGGTCATGTGGTCCTTCCCATCTCTTGTAGTTTCTTATCACTTCCACTTGTACACCTGTATGTCAGTGTTACCTGATGGATCTTTTTAAACTTTCTAGCACCTCGATTACTGGGAAACTTAAAACTCAGTGCTAGGGACAGCTTGGCCTGCTTTTTTTTTTTTTTAAGAGGGAGAATCATATAAGTGACTAATTTTATTTTGTGGGGTTAACCAGGGAGCTCTGAGCCCAGAATTCAGCTGTGGCTGTTGAATACGCCTTACAAAGCTGCAATGTCTTCTCTCCTGTCATCATTCTTAAATGTTTTCCCTTTGGTCCTAAGTTTTTATTCTAATTTATTTTCCACTGTTATTGTGTATACTCTCAAAAACTGCCTCAGATATTTTATGACAAGCAAGAAGTATAGGATAATGAGTAGATAACAGTGTGTATTTAAATCCTGCGCTTATCTGTACAACTGTGATTTATATAACACCAAGCACAACTGGAAAAAAGTTCTCTGCGTTTTCTTGCTGTACAAAGAGGAAAAATTTGAAAGCATAGAATTGCTCTGAAACACCCAATGTTTATATTCTGTAACTTGAGGAAAAATGAGAAAAAAGTTTTACATATTTATAATTTATTTTTATTTTTATTTGCAGGGTGGGAAAGCAATTGAATTTTGCATTGCTCGTTGGTGGGCAAGTCTTAGTGATGTCAATATTGATTATACCATTTCTTTCCATGGGATAGTTTGTACTGCTCCTCAATTAAATATTGTAAGTTCCATGACCTTTCCATCATTTTTAATGTGTATTATTTATACTATTGAAAAATAACCTCATTAGTTGGATTTAAACTTTAATGGAGAATTTACCTGTGGTTCTGAAAGTAACAGTAGTCTTTGTTTTCATGGATGCTTATAAACTTTGTATTAGAAATATTTATTTTAGGTATAAAATATTCTTTAAAAATACAATTTAACACCGTTTAATAAACTAATTTGATAAATATCCTTTGTAGCACGCGTCAGAAGGAATCAACCGTTTTGACGTTCAGTCCTCCTTGAAATATGAAGATCTGGCTCCCTGCATAACTTTGAAGAGCTGGGTCCAAACACTACGGTATGATTCATTGTTTAGAGGCTACAAATGTTAACTGTTGGTGGGGGCGGTGGGCGGGGGTGGGGGGCATCTCTTACTCTTATACTCTTCCAGGAGAGTCATTTTTTTTTTTAAATCCATCTGAATGCTAGAGATAGAAATTCAGTTTGTGACTTTCCAGACTAGAAATCCTCCTGAATCTCTGGGAGGCAGCCCCAGTAGCGGCTTCCAACCTGACCGACAGGGTTAAGGGTGGAAGATCACAATAGTTGATCCCAGTCGTGACTTATTAGGGTCAGGGATTATTGGGCATTAACCTTTTATTTTTTGCCAAAAAATAACAGCATTCTCTCTGATTTTATCTTGTAAATGCTTACCCAGTCATTTTCAGAAACTTGCAGCACTGGAAAGTATTGCAGTGGTAATACTTTTTTATTGAATGGTAGACACTTAAGTAGTATAATGTTTATGCCCCAGCAGCACCCCCTTTT